ATCAAGATTTGAATCCACCCAAATGGCAAAACGAGCATTAGAAAACGGACTATAAATATTATTCCAATCTATGCCTCCTAGATTCGAAGAAAGGGACATATTTATCAACCTTGTTCCTTGCTACAGATGCTACAAATACGATCACCTTGTCAAAGATTGCAAGGAGACGGACACTTACAAAGCTTGTTCTGAATGTGCCTCTAATGATCACACATACAAGGATTTCAGGGAAAACACGAAGAAATGCCTAAACTGCAACGGTAACCACCGAACACTTGCCGCTAAATGCCCAACACGAAAAGCAATTATCAAAGAAAGAACGAAAGAGCAAAGGCAAGCTGAGAGAAAAAAGATCACCGCTGACACATCCCGCCAAACAACCTACGCGGGGCAACAGCAGCAACTACCAATTATAGTGGGAGCAAGGAACAATGTAACTACCACCTTCAACGCGGAAACGATGCAAAGTTCTCTCCCACCGAACGCAGCTGCCTGCATAATGAGTGCGATATTATTTGCATATACTCAGGAAGCCAGAGAACCAGGCAGTTTCCAGAAAACAATAGATAAGATGTACGCCCTAAACAATCTCCCCAAGGTCAGATTCCCTGACCAAGTATATGCAACCGGAACACTTGGTGTATTAACAAATACAAACAACAATGTACCGACAATGACGAATGGCGACGAAACAGAGATGGAACAAGAAGGAAACAACAAGAAAAATCGAGAAACTACTCCAACCCAAGAAACGGTATCAAAAACGAAAAAGGTAGCAACAAATAATGCACAACGAGAGGAAATCAACGAAGAGGAATATCGTTTACCGCCACCAATCGACCAGCATCCACATCAAAATCAAGAGGACCTTCAAGAGAGAGGAGATGTTACAAAGGCTAAAGAGTTCAGATTACATCGACTGCCAGAAAAAACTTCGGGCGAGAGAGGAAAGCATTGGATACATCCCTAGACGATCTACACACAATGATCTAGTCAAATTGATGCAGTCAAATATCATTAAATACGCATACCTCCACAAAGATATCTTTGATGACCAACTAATCAAGGATAACATACTAAACAGGACTATTGATCTCACTGCATACAGAATACAATACGTCAGTAATCAAGCCTTCGACAGAATTGTTAATGGAACGAGAGCGGAGCAGCAGCCTGCCAGAAAATCCTCTACAGATCCTGACATTATATAATCTTACACTATGACCATAAATAGATACAAAATAATTCAACACAATGTCCTAAACTGGCGTACAAGAAAACATTAACTGTCAAACAAGTATTTGACAGAAGACCCAGACGCAATATTAATTAATGCCCACTGTCTACAGAATGATGAAACTATTAAGCTGTTTGGGTACAATGTTTACCAAAGAAACATTTTGAATGAAGGCGACGCCGGAGTTGCTATTGGTGTGAAAAGAAACATAAAACACAGAGTCATCGATGATTTTACAGATTTTCTCGCAGTAGAACTATATACAGACCGAGGAAGCTTTGTTCTCGGGACGGCATACATGCCACTTAGACGATCCCAATTCCCATACCCGGACATCATGAAAATCATGAGAAGGAACACTCCGGCTTACATAATAGCCGACCTAAATGCCCGACATCGCTCACTCGGACAAAGTAATAATAATCTAATGGGCAGCGAATTAATTAACCTGATCCATCGCAACATAATCACCCAACTTGGACCAGACTTCAACACTTTTGTAAGTGCTAGAGGGAAAGGAAGACCAGACATCATAATAGGAAATAGGAATATACACATGAATTATGCCATACAAGAAGGTCCACTAACAACATCGGATCACATTCCTATTATCTTCACCCTGGCGACGTCACCCGTCATGATCCCGCAAGCAAAAATGTATGACTATAAAAGGGCGGACTGGGAACTATTCAAAAGAGATATAGATCAACAAATGGATCAACCTACAGAAGAACTCACAGTTAATAAAGAATACGTTGACAATAAAATCGATAGCTGGTATGCAATGCTTGAAAGTGCAATGAACAAAGCAATACCCAAGAAAAAATACATAACTCTGCCTCACCCCCTGACAAGCGACCACCGTAAGCTGTTAACATGGAGATACAGAAACATCTTGGAGATAAAAGAACATCTTGGATGGACGCCTCTTCTACGTACCCAATATAAGCAACTCCAGGAAGAAATGAAAGAGGAAAGTAAAACTAGCCACAAACCACTGGAACAAACTTATGGAGGAAACAGAAATAGAGTATAATAACCCTAAAAAGTTCTGGAAAAAAGTAAAACGACTGAAGGGAAGCAACCGCAAAGAAACACCCTACATCTTAAACGCCAACAATGAGAAAATATCAGACGATCAAGAGAAGGAGGAGGTTTTTCGAAGATTCTGGGAAAACGTTTTTGAAATCAATGATGATGATAACCGCAACTTTGATATGCAACACGAAGCTATGGTGCAAGAGTACCTCTCAAATAATAGATACAGACTTCTCCCCTATAGAGAAGCACAAGCAATCAAACTTAGCAATGATAACCCTCTCACAAGACCCATCACAACAGGGGATATCAAGTCCATAATTAAAGTCTTCAAGGACAAAGCCCCTGGCCAAAGTGGAGTAAGAAAAGCTATAATGCAGCATCTCCCGGATGTTGCCATTGTAGAACTGAAAACAATTTTCAACTGGGCTTTATCAATGGGCTATTTTCCAACAAAATTTTAAAATGCCATAATGGTCTTAATAACAAAAGCAGGAAAAGACCCCAGAAAAGTTGAAAATTATAGACCAATATCCCTTTTAGAAATACCTGGTAAGATCTTCGAAAAAATAATTAATGACAGAGTGAAAAGGCACATGGAAAACAACAGTCTATTCAACCCAAATCAGTATGGATTCAGGAAAGGAAGAGGAACACAACAGGCTATAACTTCCATATACGAAACCGTAGCAATATCCCGAAGAAAGAGACAGCAATATAACATTGTATGTCGTGACATAGCAAAAGCATTTGACAAACTTTGGAAATCAGGACTCAAAATTCTACAAATAAATTTCCCAGACATCATCGTTTCCCTTACTAAGTGGCGTGCCTCAAGGATCAATATTGAGCCCAACATTATTCATATTTTACACAGCTGACCTCGAAAGACCCAGGAACAATTGTGTAGATGTGAGTTTTGCAGACGATAACACCCAGATCATAATATACCCCTTAACCAAGAAAGAGACATTAGCAACAACGACGGCGAACGAAATACGAAGAATAAATGACTTTGAGAATAAATGGAAGATCAAGACCAACAAAAACAAATTCAAACTACTATCAATATCAGCAACAAAACCAAGGGAAGTAGTAGTTGACAACGAAAGAATACCATTCAAAAGCAAAGTCACAGTACTCGGCATGGAATTTGGTACACGCGGAGTATCATCACATATAAAACGAAGACTTGCAACGGCCAAGTTCCAGTACACGAAACTCAAACGTTTTGCGAAAATGAGTTCAAAGATACAACTCCACTTCTACAAAACTCTTATTAGACCAATCATGGAGTACCCGGCCATTCCCCTGTGCATCTCATCGAAAACTAACATAACCAAGATGCAACAATTCCTAAACAGAGTCCTTCGGACAGCAACAAGGAGGAACGAGGAAGATAATCTGCTATCAATAGCAGAATTGCACATCAAGTACAAAGTGGAGGCAATAAACACCAGACTCTACAACTTGGCAAGGAAAGTCTGGGACAAATTGGAAACCATAGACGGAGAACTGACGGCACGATCACTCGAAGAGAACAACTTCCCTCTTGAGAACGACCACTCGTGGTGGAGGCGAATATCACCCTACATCGAGAGCGGAGAGCCGATGCCGGACTACGCAACAATCGTCTAAGAAGAAAAGGAGCATCTCTGAATACGTACATCAACTCAACTAGTCTGTATATAACCTTTGATTTGTGGATATTTTTGTAAATAAAGTTGAAATAAGCAGCAAGTAGGTCTGCCCTACTACTTCTACATCTCTCTCTGCTTCATTTTCTGACCTTCCCTTCCTAAGCTTCAGCTAGCTTATTCCACTGTCTCCATTCTTTCCTATCCTGCTGCAAAAAAAAAAAAAAAAAAAAAAAAAAAAAAAAAAAAAAAAAAAAAAAAAAAAAAAAAAAAAACTAAACCCCTCCCTCCCTCCTAACCCCCACCCGTTAATCCCCCCCTCCATCTCTACCTATTTTCAATATTTCTGTTGAAGCCAATAGCATTTTAACTTTTGATATTTTTATTGTAAACATAAAGCAATGTGCTTCTTGTTTATTTGTATTTTATATGAATATCAGTATTTTTATGTTCGTTTTCTAGTGCGAGTGACTTCACACATAGCTTTGCAGGTCATATTAGGTCAGGCCTTGTCAATAAATGACAAATCTCACCTTTTGTGACCTGTCTTAGTACTATTTTCCACATTTTTTCTGAAATTTAATATCATTTATATAACACGATTATTTACGATAGAGTGATGTATTTACTTCCGGTTTGCATTAATATATTGGAAACTGTAATAATACTAGCATAATTCATCGAATTAAATTGTATGATTTTAAGTTATTATTATAGTATATTTGTGCATATTCCAAAGTATGTTTCGCCGTAATTATTCGTCTTCTTTATAGATATATTTTTTCTTTAATTATTCATGGTCATTTATTGGTAATTTGATTATTTAATTTCTAGATTATTGTGTACTTGTTTTTTCACAATATTTGATTTTACATATACTAGCTATTGCTATGTTTTAGCGAATGTTCGGATAACGACCTCATTTGACCTTACTCAGGTAGAAGGTACTTATAGCCATCTGACTGTGCTCGACCCAAAAATACATTCAAGCTATTTGTATTTATATCTTATTCAATTATCTCTGTGTTAGAGATTAATTATATTATACAGCTACTATGATTTCATATTGTTCGTGATTTTCGTTTATCTTAATCACGAACCTCACCTCATCATTATTACATGGTCCTTGGTGACAACCCACAGCTGGGTATGGACATGTAATTAGGTTTAGGAAATTAATGTTAAGTTGTTCTCATGTGCCGAGTTGCACACCTATCGCCCAGGCGATCTCAGCGCCACGCGCCTTCTTATAGCTATACGTGAGATCATCGCTGGTATTCCCCAAGAAGATAAGTACCCAATTGCGTTCTGCGTATGAGTTGGATGATATGTCCCTTCTATGGTTGGGTCATCACGTCATCACCTTCCTCAGGGAATTTGTTTTAAGTATCATTTACAACCACGAGGGTTGTCATTCGGCTGTCAGTTGTCTCAGGGAAGCTGACCCAAACCAGTCACTGTTTCATTCATTTTACGTACTAATTAAAGTACCATTTTGTATGATTTCGCATAGTAGTTGATTAATATTGCAATTACCGTAAATTCATTATTATTAGTGTGAATGTTTTTTTGTTTGTTTTTTTTACGCGCAGTCAGATTGGTAATTAATTTCATTGCATGCAGCCCACATTCCTGACCCGTCTACTTACCTGACCCCCTCCCATCCTCACCCATACTTCTTTTACCTTAGCCTACCACCCACCCACTCCTCCTCCCCTTCGCTTATTTCTTCCAACTTCCACGCCATTCTATTCCTTTTTTTACTCACGCCCTTACTTTAACAAATTACTAATGACTCTAAAAACTAAAATATATCTATCAGCATTCTATTTTCTTCTCGTGTGCTATACTCTGACTTACTCATTTCATAACTCACCCATTAAATTAATCAACTCGTCTACGCACTCACGCAGCCACATGCGCACATCGTCTCGCAGAAACCCGTTAATTGCACAAGAATTACATGCGTACTGTTTCCGGAAAATAACCGACTCGCGCCAATAGTCTTGTATTACGTTTTAACGTGCAAATGTTGTCTTGAGAAAGTATATTTTGATGTAATGAGTTGCTCCCGAAGTATGAGGACTGCATTACCTGTTTTCATTATTGCTTTGCCTCAAATTGCTGTTGGTGACGTGTGATAGACAACTTCAATGAAATGAGATACTCAATTACTATTAGTCAGACATATACCGTATGCACTATTGCACTGCAGACTTCTGAACTCTGCATTGTTGCATTTTTATTTCTTTTTTCCAAGGAAGTTCGACACCTTTTGCTTCCTTGTAGTTTTGCACAGTGCTTATCTCTTGTAGATTTTCATATCCTGCTACCTGAGACAAATGCAACTCAAGCAAGTCCTTGCGGACTATTGCAATTGTCTCCCTAAGCATGCTCCTCTATCCTTGGACAGTGCATTATTGAAAAAATAAATGAAAATGGAAAAATCATGCAAATAATTGAATTAACACTGACATTACAATCTGATAATATTTTGATTATATCTTACCCCCCCCCCCCCTCTGGTGTTCTTATTTCAGAGAACGCCAGCACCAGCCTGTCGCGGGCGACGGTTAATAGCGTATGCCGGGCGATCTGAGGAATGAGGAGTACCTATCCATGTCCCCAAGCGATAGGGACACCCGAGCCTTTCATCAACGCTAGAAGACACACTTTTCATCGAACGCGCGCCTCGCTCGGCGCCCTTTGGGCTCCCTTGCCCACAGCTACACTGCACGAGACACCCCGCGCCACGCTACCTACCCGTCCTATCAATAAACAGCTGAACCAGAATTGTGTTTCCATAATCCACCAAATCAGGGCAACACAAAACCCCTGACAGAGAGAAAGAGAGAGAGAGAGAGAAAGTGTGATTGAGAGAGTGGAAGGAAAGAGAGAGAGAAAGAGTGGAAGGAAGAGGGAGAGAAAGAGTGAAGGAAGAGAGAGAGAAAGAGTGGAGGAAGAGAGAGAGAAAGAGTGGAAGGAAGAGAGAAAGAGAGGGGAAAGAAGAGAGTGGAAGGAAGAGAGAGAGAGAAAGAGTGGAAGGAAGAGAGAGAGAAAGAGTGGAGGAAGAGAGAGAGAAAGAGTGGAAGGAAGAGAGGGAGTGGGAAGAGAGAGAGGGAGAGGGAAAGGGAGAGAGAGTTATGATATCTGTGGAGCAGCTGTTTCATTTCAGAGAGATGACTTGGTAAGTTTGATGGAAAAGTTCCTTGGATTTGAAGACTTCAGCACCTACTGTTCTTAGCTAGTAATTTGTTATACATCCACTATCTTTGGTGTTTTCAAACAAGTTGGACTAGGTCTAGACAGTATTTTCCAGCTTAGCTAGTTTGCTCACCTGTCCATATTGGATAAGCAATTCTGAATGCAGCACTAGGTCTATTTGTACTTAAAGTTATACTTAATTTTCATGGTATATCGCTATTGTTATTGTTATTGTTATCCCCCCCCCACCCCCATCCCTCTTTCTTCCTTTTATTTTAATTTTATTTTTGACGAATTCCTTTCATACACTCAGGCTGTGGAAAATGACAAGCTGTCAAAATGGTGGTTAAAGAGCATGATCGACAGCCGTGAAGACCAAGAAAACAAGCAATACCCCTCGGTGAAGGCTGTGGAAGAGTACAGCGAAAAATCAAACTCTGTGTTGTATTACCTCATTCTGCAGAGCATGGGTGTGTAGCAGGTTTGTTGTAGTATATGCTCACTTTCTTAAACATTCTCTCTCTCTCCCTCGCCCCCCTCTCTCTCTCTCTCTGTCTGTCTCTCTCTCTCTCCCTCTCTCACACACACACTTTATCTCTCTCTGTCAGGGGTTTTGTGTTGCC